TGCTCCTCTCCCGCCTCGAAGCTGCAATGCCCGCAGGAGGGCTGGAGAACTCTCATGTCCCCCCACCCCGCAAGCCCCCAGGGCCCAGGCGGCTAGGGGCTGGAAAACAACGTGGAGCAGCCGCCTTTTGTGTGCTCTGTGGGGAAGGGTCGCACCAATGTCGAAGGACATAGAGCGGCTTTCCAGCGTGAGCGGCTCGCCTGGGTCCCCCTCCTCGCCCACACCGTTTTCCTACTCAGTTAGTTCACCTAACTAGGGGCAACACTGGGTAGAGAGCATGCTTCTGGAAATGGGAACTTATTGTGGCGGCACCCCTCGCTCCGTGCCCCACGGGGGAGAGCTGGATGGTGGGGCCTGAGCCTGTGGCAGGTGGTCCCTAGGTCAGCACTGACTGCACCAGGAGTGGGGTGGGGGTGGGGTGGCATTAGGAAGGCCATCTCCCTGGGTTTGGAGGACTTACCAATCTTCTAGTAGCTTTTACAAGTGCCCTGCACTCACCTCTCCATTTCTTATTCATCTGCTTACCCTTTTCAGCTTCCAAGAAATTGTTTTTCCAAGAATCAAAGAACATCTCATAACAGGGTATAAAAGGAACATGCTTAAGACAGAAATAGGGACGTGAATCTTGAAGTACTAGTGACCCTGTCAGACCTCCTGAAGTGCAGAGTGAAAGGCTCCACTGATGATGGCAGTTTTCTATCTGGTTATTTCATTTGTTGAGAGTTTGGAAATGGCCCTCAGTCTGGGGGATGAAGCAGCCCTTCTGAAAGCAGTCCTACCACCACCCATAGGGCACTTTCCCCACCCTCAGAGACCAAACAGTCTTTTAGGGGACTTTATTATGGAAACAAGCGCATGCGTGGTGATGGTTTCTTTGAACCCAGAAAAGGCCAAGTGTCTTCGCAGTAAGCCTATTTCAGTCATCACATCAGTCTCAATAAAGCATATGTGGAGGCTCCTAGAGGGCCTGGGACCTGGAAGTCCTCTAAAGACATTCTGTCACAAATCTTAGTTTTGCACAGTATGTGTAAAATTTGTTAATTGTTGCACGTAGGCAGATCTCCAAGAATTCATACCCTCTATTCCATAAATGCCTGTGTGGCTCATGCTGTTTGTTACTGCCACAATAGCTATAACAGTTTTTGCTTGCGAAGAGAGCCCAGATTCACTTCAGGTATAGGGCAGAGCCACAGGGTTTGGGGAAGGCAGGCCCAACTCCAGGTGATGAATCATGACTGATGAAAAAACCATGATAAGCTCCCTCTTATTGACTAGTGGGATGGTCTAGACTCCCACTCAGTTTGGGCCAAGGAGATATAAGAGGGAAGTGTGAGAGGAGGGTTCCTGGGAAAGTTTTTCTACCTTAATAAAAAAAAAATAAAAAGGAGAGAGGCCCAGGCCCCACTTTCTTCCTGAGAGGGATGTTTGCTTGCAATGCTTTGGCCCTTGGCAGCCATATTGCAACCATGAGGCAAGGCCAAGACAATCTCAGAGAAGCCAATCCAGAATCCAGACAGCATTGAACTGTTGAACCAGGCCTGATACTGCCTACCTCTGAGTTCCTTTTTATGTAAGAAAAATAAACCCCTGCAATTTATGCCACTTTTAGATGAATATTCTGTTACTTTCAGGCAAAAGCATTCTTAGTACTACGAGCTCTATGGTAGCCACTGAAGGTGCATCACATTAAACAAGACAGGCAAGGTCCCTCCTCTCTTGGCGCTCAATGTGAGCACAACGAAATGAACATGTTAATTTCAGAAAGATAAATGTTATGCAGAGAATTAAGGTGAGTTGATAGAGAGTAACTGGAGTTGGGGACCTAGTTTAAAATAGATGATCAAGAAAAGCTTCTTTGAGGAGGTAAACACTGAGCTGAGTCTTGAAGAAAAAGAAGCAATCAGCAGAGTAGAGCATTCCAGGCTACAGGAATGCCAGGAACAAAGGCCTAGAGATGGGAGCAGACTTAATATGTTCAAAGACCAAAAAGAGGCCAGTGTGGCTGGAGCATAGAAGGAAGAGGAGTGGTACAAGATAGAGTAGGAGAAGTAAGCAATTTTTGCAGAGTCTTGTGAGCCATGGGAAACATATGTCACACTGATGGTGCACAAACACCATCTGGCCATTGTGCAGGCTCTATGCTCATTCTTGAGATTGTAGATTTCACTTCTTCTGGTTTAAGACTTCTATTTAAGTACATAAACATTGAGCATGGTGCTACGCACTGAGGGAGAATGCAGTATGAATTAAAGACACTATTTCCTTCTGGGAAAAAAAAAAGAAAGTCTAGTACAGAATGTATTTATGGTACAAGGTAGTATGTGATACAGACCATACTCAAGGTAAAGAGGCAGGAAGGGCCAAGCGCGGTGGCTCACGCCTATAATCCCAGCACTTTGGGAGGCTGAGGTGGGTGGATCACCTGAGGTCAGGAGTTCAAGACCAGCCTGACCAACATGGTGAAACCCCGTCTCTACTAAAAATACAAAAATTAGCCAGGCGTGGTGGCAGGCGCCTGTAATCCCAACTGCTTGGGAGGCTGAGGCAGGAGAATTGCTTGAACTTGGGAGGCAGAGATTTCACTGAGCCAAGATTGCACCATTGCACTCCAGCCTGGGCAAGAAGAGTATTGCACCATTGCACTCCAGCCTGGGCAAGAAGAGTGAGACTCCGTCTCAAAAAAGATTTAAAAAAAAAAAAAAAAGGGCAGGGGAGATCATACCTGCTTAGGGTCTATGAAAGGCTTTCTGAAACAGGGAGTGTTTGAGCTGGACTTTGCGGAATGGGTAGGATTTGGATATAACTACACTCACATAGTAAAGGGAAATTGTAGGTGCAATCTTACAACTTCCAATGGGGCATTTTATTGGGTGATTTCTTTTCTACATTTGTTAAATATATTAGGTTTTTATCACAAATTTAGCTGCTGCCTTAAGACTATCCTAGTTGAACCTGAGATACAAGTATTAGAAATGCCATTGAGCCCTTTGACCGAGAAATTCCACTTGTATAAATCAACGCCAAATAAAAACTCGCACATGTGAACTCAGATGCCTGTATAAGGATGGTCATTGTATCAAATGTTTGTAATAGCAAAATATTAGAAAGAACCTGAATGTCCATCTAAAAGGGACTTCTTTATGATCAGTCCCTAGACCACTGCCTGGCACAAAAAAATAGTGGGTGCTCAAAAAATAGTTGTTCAGGGAATGAATGAATACATGTGATTTATTCAAACGAAGGGACTCTCTTCAGCTATTAAAAAAAGAATGACATATATATGTATGTACTTACATTGAAAAAGCTCCAAAGGATATTCATTGATAAAGCAAGTTGCAGAATGACTCTATTTATAAAAATGTGTATGTGTGGGCCAGACGCGGTGGCTCACGCCTGTAATCCCAACACTTTGGGAGGCCGAGGCAGGCAGATCACCTGAGGCCAGGAGTTTGAGACCAACCTGGCCAACATGGCATGGCGAAACTCTGTCTCTACTAAAAATACAAAATTTACCCAGGCATGATGGTGTGCACCCTGTAATCTCAGCTACTTGGGAAGCTGAGGCATGAGAATCGCTTGAACCCAGGAGGTGGAGATTGGTGGAGATTGCAGTGAGCCGAGATTGCTCCACTGCACTCCAGCCTGGAGGATACAGCGGGACTCTGTCTCAAAAAAAAAAAAAAAAAAAGTGTGTGTGGTGTGTGTGTGTACATGT